CCTAATTAAATGGGGAATTATGGGATATATTGGCTGCACGGCTGGACTAAAATAAAATATGGGAGAATGGTGGAATGAAAGGCTTGCTGCGGCTGTTATGGAAAAAGTGTGGAATCAAAATGTAGATGGTGGCGGCTGGATGGTTTTTGCACGGGTTTTGGTGAGAATAATGGTGGCTTGGTTGTAAAAATATGTAGGGTTTTAGAAAATAAACCCTAGCTTATTTAAAATTAAATCAAAGGCTTACGAAAATAGGAAATTAAAACATAAATATAAAGGTGCGGCTAGGAAGGGAAATAGGGCTAGGGCCTTGGTTTTGTGTCCTAAAGTGCATACGAGGCCTATAAAGTGGCTAGAAAATATGGACGTTTAGAATTAGGAAAGGTTACCAAAACGGGAAACTTAGGGTCAACTTTCCTAAAATAGGAAGCCTTGTTTGAGTAGGATTCTTCGTTTTGGTAAGAATTCATCGTTGGCGTAGGAATTCGTCGTTTCTTCAAGTCTTCAACTCATTCATTCCTCATTCGCTCCAAAAGACTCCAATTTGCATCTTCTTGCACACTTTGGCCTTATAATCTGAAAATACACAAAAGTGGCCTTAAACACTGAAATAGATAAGTAAACACAACATAAATGCACGAGAACAAGCTAATTAAGTCGCATGAATATGCTCCTATCATAAAGTAAGGAGTCAAATAACTTAATTGCCACACCACATATGGCATCTCCTTTGGAGAGAATACCTAAATGTCTTTGAGTCCTATTTGATATATTTGACATCTCTTTTGAAGATGATCTAAGGTGGCTGTGTGGTGTAAATGTGTTGGGTTCCTAGGGGACTTTTCAAATTATGATCAATAAGACTAGCTAATCAACTATACCATGGACGTAGGCTAATTTGCCGAACCACATAAACTTGTGCTTTGTTAGTTCTTACTATTTTTCCACATGAACCATATGTATTTACTCCTAGCCAGTGTATATTTGTTTTATTTCCTTCCTTCCAAGGAAGAATGCATGACTTTAGGAAAGTAATTATCCTCCTTTTTGGCGAAGGCAACTAATGCAGACTTGGAACAAAGCAAGACATTAAAGTAATTGATTGCTTTGAATCTAGTGTGGTTAGGTGAGGTTGAATAAAGCAATTCCTCTTAGAAATACCTTATCTCTGATCTCAAAGCCACAAATGCTTGAATCTACATTGCTTAGCGTATAATTAAATGATGTTACCCATTAATTTGTGTAGTGAACCAATACGCCTACAACATTTTCTAATTTTAGTTTCGATTTGTCAGTTAATCCATCAACCTCATCGGCATTGTCAGATGCTGCCAGTATTCTCTGTTCTTTCGATTCAATTCATATTGGAGGTGTGGTTCCAATGCTTATGTTATGTATCACACACTATCTACACCAAAATAGACTCAAACAAAAGGATGACTTGGTCGGAAACCTGATAGGAGCATATTTATGCGACTTTGTTAGCCTATTTCCTTGCATTTACTTAGTTAGTTTATATTTATTAGAGTGTTTTAAGCTATTTTGGTGTGTTTATAGGTCCAAATGGCAAAAGTGGCAAGAAAAGGCAATTTGGAGTATTTTAGAGCAGTTTTGGGCTTGGAATGGATAACACATGCATGAAGTGAGGTGGATGGACGTTTTTGAAGATCAAAAGAGGCTAGGAATGTGCTAAAAAGTTGAAAAAATTAATTCAAGACATAGAAGATAAGGAATCAGCTAAAGAGAAGGAACATTATCCAAAACCTTTTCCAGTCTTGTTTTATCTCAACCTTATCCAATCTTATCTTCTCTAACATTATCCAAACTAATCTTATCATATCCTAATCCTATCCTACCTTCTTTCCAGTTGCATTGGGGAGTTATTTTCACATTAGAACACCTAATATCAGAATTCTAGAAGCCTAAAAAGGTGCCGCACCACCCTTTCCTTATTCTCCCTGGTTTCTGCCATGTAATTAGCCTTTTCCTTGTGGGATTGGAGTGTGTAATCCTTCTCCAACACAACCTTGTCGTGCCCCCCTAGCCCTATAAATACCCACATCTGCTGCATAATTGAGAGAAGAGCCTTAGAGAGAAATTCAGAGAAATTAAACACTTTGTGCCACAACTTTGTAAAGAAGGAGAGCTTGGAGTCGTGCCTGCCATCCAAAGCCTTTGGGATTGCTGGAGCTTTTCTAAGTGTATTCTATCCTTAGTTTTAGTCCAATGTTTGTTTTAATTTGGTTTTTAGTTATGATGAACATGTGGAACTAATTTCGTTTTAGCCAGAGGTGAATTCAAAGCCATGAACATATATGTGATATGAATTGATTGCATCTAGTTATTGTTTCATAAATCGTGAATGCAATTCACTTAATTGTTTGATTGATAACTTATTCTTGTATGTTGATTAAGGAGGCCTACTTAGTTTGCATGCATGAATTCGATGCTAAAATATAAGGGAATTTCACCTAATAGTTATGACCTTATATTTTCAAGTAGTGGAGGTTGGTAGTCACAATCGCGTTAAGTAAATTCCTAGTAGGAGTATCATGCAGTTCATAGTTACGAATGTCATGTCAATGCTTATGATTTTCACAGAACTTAATGATCTTTGATATGTATCTCTATTATGCATTTCAAGTAGGGAACTTGATAAGAATAATTTGGTTGCATCGTTGAGTCCAATTCAATGAATTTAGGAAAATCTGAGAGTCAATTTGTGCAGTTCACGGTTAATTTGGGGCATTGTTATTCGTGGTTTATAGGAATAATAACTGGAAATCGATTTGTATGCATATGTATCCTGTGTGGAGAATGACCCTCTAGCTAGCTTTTCACCCCTTTAAGTTACCTTAGTTTCTTACCACCCTTACTTTGTTTCTGCAACCTACTTAGTTTTAGTTTAAAATCAGTCCAAACAAACCCCCCCCCCCCCCGGTTAGTGTTTTTAGTCAAGTCTAGAAATCGTCCAAATTCCCCCTTAGTTCATGTTTTGAGTCAATTTGTTTGTTTTGCACTGTTTTGAGTCAGTTTTGAGTCATTACAGTCTAGTTTTGTGTTTTTAAGTCTCATTTGTGTTGATTAGCATCCCTTCTAATCCCTGGCCTAGAACGATCCCTACTTACGTATACTACAATTGTCTAAAAAGGGTTTCATTTGTGTGTTATTTTTTTATAGTTGTAGTATGTGAAAGTATGGATCGTTTTAGGCTGGGGATTAGAAGGGATGCTAATCTACACTAATTAGACTCAAAAACAGAAAACTAGACTCAAACAACTCAAAACAAACTAAATTGACTCAAATAACACAAAACTAAATTAAATTGACTCAAAACAAGCACTAGAAAGAAGTTTGGACGAAATTTAAACTAAAAAGACTCAAAATACTCAATGGAGGTTGCTTTGACGAATTTAACTAAAACTAAGCAGATTGCAAAAACGAATTAAGTTTGGTACGAAATTGGGTGAATTATGGGTGAAAAACTAGCTAGAGGGTTCATCTCCACACATGACACATATGCATACAAATCGATTCCCAGTTATTATTCCAATAAACCATGAATGACAATGCTCCAAGTTAACCGTGAACTGCACAAATTAACCATCTAATTTTCCTAAATTCATTGAATTGGACTCAGCGACGCAACCAAATTATTCTTATCAAGTTTCCTATATGAACTGCATGATAGAGATACATATCAAAGATCATTAAGTTCTATGAAAATCATAAGCATTGACAAGACATTCGTAACTAGGAACTGCATGATACTCCTATCCTGGATTTACTTAACACAATCATGACTAGTGACTTCCACTACTTATAAATATAAGTTCATAACTATTAGGTGAAATTCCGTTATATTTTAGCATCAAATTCATGCATGCAAACTAAGTGTGCACCCTTAATCAACATACAAGAATAAGTTATCAATCAAACAGAAAAGTAAATCACATTCATGTTTTACAAAACAATAACTAGATGTAATCAATTCATATCACATATATGTTCATGGCTTTGAATCCACCTCTAGCTAAAAAGAAATTAGTTCCACATGTTCATCATAATTGAAAACCAAATTAAAACAAACATTGGACTAAAACTAAGGTTAGAATACACCTAGGAACGCTCCAACAATCCCAAAGGCCTTGGATGGCAGGCATGGCTCCAAGCTCTTCTTCTCCTTCCTTCCTTGCAAAGCTACGGCATAAAGTGTTTAATTTCTCTGAATTTATCTCTCTATGGTTGTCCCTAAATCTCTGCAGGAACTTCATATATATAGGATTAAAATGGTTGAATCCAATAAGGAAAGGGATTGAGTTGTTTGAATGGATTAGGACTCCAAGAATCAGATGGGAAGTATTTAGAATAGGATAAGGACTCCTGTTGCAGCTAGAGATAAGTTTAGATAATGTTGGATTAAATAGGATAATGTTTGGATAATATGGGATAAGATAAGATAAGATTGGATAAGATAGGATAAGGTTGGATAAGATCTCCTTGTTTTCAGTTGATTCCTTGTCTTCCAAGCCTTAATTTAATTCTTCCAGATTTGTAGCACATTTTTAGCATCATTTGTCACCAAAACCGTCCATCCATTATGCTCCATACACATGCTATCCAATCCAAGTCCAAAACTGCTCTAAAATGCTCCAAATTGACTTTTCTTGCCAACTTTACCATTTAGACCTACAAACACACGAAAATAACTTAAAACACTATAATAAATAGAAACTAACTAAGTAAATGCAAGGAAATAGGTTAACAAAGTCGCATAAATATGCTCCTATCAATTCTGCCAACCGCAGAATCTCCCTTTTCCTTTTATTTGCCTTTCTTTTTTCGTAAAGAAAATTAAAGGGTTTACGTAGCATCTATTCCTCTTTCTTTTCTTCTTTTTCTTTTGCTTTATAACTCAAAGCAATCTATTAATTGGTTCATATTCACATCTTGTTTTTCCTTGGAAATTAAATGCAAATGTCAATGTATGAGTTTTGCACCATAGTTTTTGCTCAATACATATAAATTAACGAAATGCGAATAGGGCAAAAAATAAAGCAATGTATGACGAGAAGAAAACAAAAAATAGTCTTGCAATATTCTTTGAAAAATTATATTTTTGAAGGCTAAACGTAGCCTAAGTTATTTAGCTCACTATGACTGGAGATGACCTAACACCTAGGCTCTTGCATTTGGAAACAACATGAGGATTGCAGGTTAGAGAAGGGTTGATGATTCTAGTATTGCAAATGAGACAGGAGTCTCATGGGATTACAAGAACACCAATAATGTTCTTTTTTTCGGTTGTGAATAATGATAAACATCATTTGCACACACAAAACTGACCATTTATTAGAAAATGTGAGCAAATATGTCATTTTGTACAATATCATTGCCCCAAGAACAAATATTAGAACAAAAACTATCTTGCAACAACTAAATTGAGAAATGGCTAGTTTGTAAGAACTAGAAAAATGATGGTTTTGTTTTTGTTAACCCAATAGCAACGCTTTCTATAGGTCTGTTAGGCAAAGCTTTTCCATAAATGAATCCCAGCCAAAACCAAAACCAAAAAGAAAAAGGAAAAAGGAAAAAGGAAAAAGGAAAAAGGAAAAGTAAAGTAGGCCGACAACTACTTTGGCTAAAGCTAGTAGGTAGGACTGTCCGATCCTTGCCTTGCGAAAGTTAGGTTTACCACCTCCTGGCATGGTTTGGGAGCTTTATTTGTTTAATATCCTCCTGAGAATGCAAGCCTCCGCCGATGTCAATAAAGTGTGGAGTTATAGAAAGATGAGTGTGCGGGGTGCAAAGCCAAGAGTTTGTGCATAGCACCAAAGAGTGCAAACATGTTGAGAGAAGCTCTTCCATCCGATCTGGTCATGACCAACAGAGGGGGAGAGAGAAAGCGATCAGCGTCAACGCTTCTCAAGCATTTGAGGAGTCGAGGACTTGTATATATCATTGCATTTTCTGAAAAGTTATGCATCCGGAACATGGTGTTTGGATAAACTTGGTAAGATCCTTCAATGTAAAGAATTTTCAAAGAAATGATAAGTTTGGCAAATTTTTTACAAGGTGAATCACGGAAGCACAAAAATCAAAGGAAAATTCTGGTACTTCTAAGGGATTCAGCTTGTGAAAAATTGATCAAATCTTTTGTTGCTTTAAATATTATTTACACTCACGTATATTAGCAAGTTCATTCAAACACCATGTTAAGGATGCATAATTTTCACAAAATACAATGATTCAAGTCCTTGACTCCTCAATTGCTTTGAGAAACTTTGATGGTGATATTTCTTTTCCGTTTGGAAGCTCACTATCATCTATGAAGGTTAATCACCTTATGAACCAAATTGCTATACAGATGGTTTGTAAAGTTGTAGCGTGTATCGCCATGAATAGGTAATCTACTCCATATTGTTTGGTACGGTGGTGGTAAGTGGTAACATATTGGGATCTCTCTCTCTCTCTCACTCTCTCTCTCTCTCTCTCTCTCTCTCCCCCCCCCCCCCAATTCATGGTGATATGATGTATTTATACACACACATAAATAGCTGAAAAAGGATTGATGGAACGAAGGCAATTTTGGCTTACCTTGAAACAAAGTTGAAAAAGTTTGAAGGGTGGATTGGTTGTTCCTTTACTTTTTGTTTTATTGGCTTACCTTCATGTATAAGTAGTATTGATACCCTCTCACACATACATATATGTATCCCTACAACATAACTCTGATACATGTTATCATATAAATTCATATGGACACAATATATTAGCAGTATTGAGAAAATCTCTTGATAAAAACAAAAACACAATTGATTTCTGAGCAATATTTGAATACTTATGTCCCTTTCTTAATTGCAATAGTTAGGCTGCAGCAAACAGTAATTCGGTTGCTTGATTATGTTGGGAATAAAAGTTATCAATGCTACGGAAACAGAGAAGTGAGAACAAACTGAACCAGATTCACAAAAACAGATGAGTAAGTCATAGGCCACAACATAAGAAGTTTGCTTGATACCTTTCGTTTCTTCGATCAGTATGCTGCTGTGTTAGTATGTAATATATCTGGATGAAGGAAATTTATTAGAAGTAGAAAGCTGTGATGAAGGCAACTTAGCGTTTCCCAGGCTATTTGGGAGGATGCTGTTTATGAATATCACTGATTTCTATGTGAACCTTGATTGCATGTCCACATTGCAAAAACTTGATCTATCAGGAAGCAACTTTGTTAACCTTCCCACCTGCAATAACAATTTGTTAAATTGCAGGAACTTTGTTGTGTGACCGCAAGCTGTGGTGCCCATGTAATAATGCCGGAGGATGAACACACAAAGAAGAGGTATCAGGGATAACGAAGGTGGTGAAGATAATGAAGGCCGACTGGCCAAGGTCCATGAGGATGAAGATTCTGCATTATGTTTTTTTTTTTTTTCCAGAAGTGAAGCTTGAAGGTTGCTGTTTGGTTCTACCTTTGTGTTTCTGTTGGCGCTTTGCGTGTTCCCTCATCTTGGAGAGAAGGAAAGAAGAAAATAAGGAGTTGCAATCATGATTGAAGGTTGTAATTAAGTTTACATTTGTTTCTTCTTTTGGTGGAAATTTAAGTTCCTTTGCAAAATAAATAGAATACGATCAGACGAGATTATTCTCGATAACAATCTATGTAGGAGGCATAACACCCACCCTTGCCCGAAGAAAGGGGACCAATACTTCCCGGGAAAAAAAGGCTCAGTTAGATTATCCATAAACATATATACTTTCGATAAGTGAGAAAGATGAACTGTATCGTCAACAAGGTTTTTGCTCACGTTTTGATGATTACAAACCATACGATACATACGGAAAGACAACAAAAATATGAATTGTTGTAGGATTACACGAATGAATGACACAAAAAGGAACCCGTGAAAATGTAGAAACTCAAAACCACTCCACATGAATCATGATGGTAAGCATGGTAGTAAAAGTCTATAAGATGTAAAGTACAATTGCCCAAACAGGGTAGACGAACAAAATGATTATGCCAACAGTGTTTGATATTCCGCCAGGTTTGGTGAAAGCATCTCTGAACCCACCGGCTGCCCGGATGTGTTCTTGAAGCAAATAACCTGCGACGAGAAGACATTACAACACCAATCCAGTCGCCCCTCAGAGTGTCCGCAAATAAGCTAGGAGCAACCACTATAAGAAGAATCAACGCTGCCGGCAATTCCAGCCACTCTGGAGGTTATCATCACACAGTTTGTGACCACAATCAGTAAACAGAATGGGATTAGGATAATGTAACAACCATTTTGCTCACCAGCATTATCACTGTATTAATTGCCGTTGGACGAGTTTAAATTTCAAAATTTGCCCAAGTAGACTGGTTAAATCAGTCATCCAACGGCGATTAAAGTAGTGGTAATGCTCACATTAGGAATTAAAACAATATTTTACCTGGGAAACGTTTAGGGAAGAAAAGCCGTAAGACAACACCAACGAAAGCAATCCATTTTCTTACTTCTCCCCTGAGAAAATACAGATTTTTTAGCTATAATCAGGGAGGGTTTAGGGAATAAACCGGACCGAAAACACAGATAACAGGAAATATGTAACTGCTGCACACAGTGTAGAAAGTCACCTGAAGATGTCGAACAATATCGAAGGAAGGGTGAAGAAAATGTAGGGGATCAATTAGGCCTGGCAACGGGTCGTGTTTGTCGTGTTCGTGTTGTTTTCGTGTAACACCTGTTATCTTAACGAGTCGTATCGTATCACACCTATTATCTTAACGGGTCCTTAACAGGACGGGTAAAGTGATCTGACCCGTTATGACCTGCTAAGAAAAATGTATTTTTTTTTCCTTAAATGTGCACATACCGGGGTAAAGCGACCCCGCCCGTTATGACCGGCTATGACCCGTTAAGAAATTTTTTTTTTTTTTCTTAAATTTGCACATACCACACATTGCCACATATATTACTTCAAAACATTAAAACACATTTATTGTTTAAATACTACATCTACACATGAAAATAAGAGCCTAATAAACAAACATCCATACACCCTAGTCTATTACAAAATATTAAATGTGCAAGGATATGCAAAATGAAAGAGTTTTTGTTTTCAAGGTTATGAAGCCTTTCTCAAAAGTTTAAACCTTGCCAATGGAACTCAAAGCTTGGCATGTTATTCCTTTTACAAAATCCTCAATTTTCATCGATCATTATAACATAAGATTTTGTGGTATCCACCAGTGTAAATATTTTAAATTGAAGATCGAATTCATTCATTGTATTCATATAGGGTCAAGGAGTGTAGCTGTCAAAAAATCATCAAAATCAGAGTTAAAATAACCGTTAAATCGTGAATTTTCGTTGATAACCGTTGAAAAGTTTTGTCCCGGTACTTGATCTTTGAATGTTTGTTTTTTTGCGATTTTTGGCATATACGATCTTGAAGCATATACAAACAAGTTTGACGGTTGGATCGTTGAAATTATTTTCGTAGAATGCGTATCCCATCAAAACGATAGATTCACTAACACTTAGAGTTTATTTTTACTTTCATTAAGTATAACATAAGATTTTGTGGTATCCACTAGGGTAAATATTTTAAATTGAAGATCGAATTCATTCATTGTATTCATATAGGGTCAAGGAGTGTAGTTGTAAAAATTCATCAAAAGCAGAGTTAAAATAACCGTTAAATCGTGATTTTTCGTTGATAATCATCAAAAAGTTTTGTCCCATTACTTTATCTCTGAATGTTTGTTTTTTGCAATTTTTGGCGTATGCGATCTTGAAGTATATACAAACAAGTTTGATGGTTGGATCGTTGAAACTACTTTCGTAGAATGTGTATCCCATCAAAATAATAGATTCACTAACACTTCAGAGTTTATTCATACTTTCATTAAGTATAACATAAGATTTTGTGGTATCCACTAGTGTAAATATTTTAAATTGAAGATCGAGTTCATTCATTGTATTTGTATAGGGTCAAGGAGTGTAGCTGTAAAAAATCATCAAAATCGAAGTTAAAATAACCGCTAAATTGTGATTTTTTGTAGAATTTGTATCCCATCAAGTTCAATGTTGTATATTAAGTAGATTTAAATTTATTTATTTTGTACGTATAACACTTAAGAAATTGAATGGTATGTATATTTAAGCTAATCCAGTGGTCACCAATTTTTAATATTTAATTTAATATATATATGTAATTATTATAGTTTTTAGGGGTATAAAATTGTTAAATTAATATATATAATTATTATAATATTTTTTTAGGGTTATAAAATTATAAAATTAATATTTTGCTTATCGTGTATACCCGAACCAACCCATTATCTTAACAGGTGCTTATCGGGTTATCCGATAACGACCCGATTCGTTATCGTGTCAACCTAAACACCTGTTAATTTCGTGTCGTGTCGTGTCGGGTTATCGGGTCGTGTTAAGAAGTGCCAGGCCTAGGATCAATAGCCCTGTAAAAATGTTCGATTTCTAGTTTGTTCGATCCAAGATCAATAGATAGCTACAATAAGCACATAAACAAATAGTTAAGCGTATGTATATTTTCTCAAATTAGTACAAGAAAAATTAAATTGTCACACAAAGAACAATTAACAAAATACAGAACAAACTAAATTAACATAAAAAAATGAACATAAAATTGGTGAAATAACGGGAAAAAAAAAAGAAATAAAGAGATCTAAATTATTGAAAACCAAAAAGAAAAAAAAAAAGGGGTTCAATACAGGATTTGGAAACCCTACATCTCCAATAACTCACAATTACCCAGAAACATATTGGTTATCGTGAATTATGATAACGCCAAAACAAACCATAAAACATAGCATCCAGTCCAAAACAAGGAGAAAGATGACATACATTGTAGCAAAAGAAGCAACCCATTTGAGAAAAGAAGTTCCAAATCCCAAGCTGCCGAGGCGGACGGCGTGGCTGGCAAGCTTCTTAACAGCAGCACCGAGCTCTTTGAAATCGTTGTTGATCAAATCGGCCGCGTCCGGTTCAGTCATCATCTTCAAGTAGCTCTTATTGATTGCCATCACCAAAGTAGAGACAGAGACGGAAAAAGAGTTTACTAGAAAAAGGCAGAGACATTGGGGACACAATTGCTTTTGACCTTATGTTACTGTATTTGTAAAGATCTAAAAATAAAGAGCTGAAACACTGTTAGTGTCACGTGGCCGAGCAACTACACCAATAATATATTTTTTTTTTGGTGAACCGGATACTTCATTGCCAGGGTAAAGATGCCGAAATTACAGAGGAAGCCTATATAGAGGCAAGCAAACAACTTAAACCAAATAAAATCGATTGACCTAAATGAAGTCGCACATCTCCCTACATCGACGCAACGCCAATTGGTCAACCGCCATATCGGCTGATATTGGGATCCAAGACCAACGACAATCTTGGAAAGACTCCCCTTTTTGTCAGTGTATTCCTAAGGCAAGAAATTTTGATTTCAACGAGTCAGACTCAATGATAACTGAAGTCCATCCTAAAGAGATACCCAACTCACATCCATGTAGAATAACCAATGCCTCAACCATTGCTACACATGGAACCTTGATGTTGTATCTGCAAGCTGCCAGGAACCTTCCATTCGAATCTCGTGCCACCTCACGTGCAAAACTAGAGGCCATTTGATAGGAGCATATTTATGCAACTTTGTTAGCCTATTTCCTTGCATTTACTAAGTTAGTTTTTATTTATTAGAGTATTTTAAGCCATTTTCGTGTGTTTGTAGGTTCAAATGGCAAAAGTGGCAAGAAAAGGCAATTTGGAGCATTTTAGAGCAGTTTTTCACTTGAAATGGATAGCACATGCATGGAGCAAGGTGGATGGATGTTTTTGAAGTTCAAAAGAGGCTAGGAATGTGCTTAACATCTGGAAGAATTAATTTAAGACTTGGAAGATAAGGAATCAGCTATAAAGAAGTAAACATTATCCAAATTACATTATCTTATCAAAACCTTATCCAAACTAATCTTATCTTATCCTAATCCTATTTTACCTTATGTCCAGCTATAAGGGGGATTCCTTATCACATTAAACCACTTCCCATCTGATTTAAGGAGTCCTAAAATCATGCAAACAACTAACCATTTTCCCCTAGGAATCTGCCACACCTTGGATAAGAATAATTTGATAGCGGCACAAAGTGTTTTAATGTTTCCTAGAACAAAAAATCCGAAAATTTTTAAAAAAAAAAAAAAGAATCAAAAAACGTTTTGAAAAAACCCAAAAAGAGGCATTTTTAGAGTTGTTTTTTATGTTTGTTTGTGTCTTAGGGTACCTTCCAACACAATGATGAGGATTTGGTTTTTAATTGCATGACTGTTAAAGAAAGTTACAAACATGGATGGAAGTTTGATATGCTCTTTGGTTTATGCTTAGTTGTAGTTGTCATTTACGAATTCACATGTAATCACAAAGGAAAAAAACTCAGTTTTTGTAACATGCTTGAAGGAAGGAACTCAAACTAACGCTACAACCCTGAAAGACTTGAGCTTAATCTTTGTTTGGAGAGTTATTAATCAGTGATATTCTTGTTTTCTAAAGTCGATGCATGATCTCATTATATCTTTGCTTGGTTGCTACTTAGAATGCGTTTTCATCACTATAGATCCAAATACTAGAACTCATGCCTGTTTCATTCAAAGCAAAAAATTGAGTGCATAACATAAAACAAGATGAAGTTGTTAGTTAAAAAACCAAAGCCAAGAA